GATCAGCTGAATATACCCTTCATCCAAATTTGGAGAAATATTTTGCTAGTTTTACCCAAAAACACACCGACTTAGTACCAGTCAACATGGTAGAAGAATTACTCTAAAAGGAAAACATTTTCAGAGGCATCAGAAAGTAGTTAAAGCCAATCTAGGATGTTAAGAATGTAGGAAGGAATAGAGATAATCTTTAATGATGATTTTTTCCCTCTGTTGATAAGATAATTGTTAATGAAAGTCCCATGTAAAGTATCCATTGCATTGCATTTTTTTAAATGATTTACTACGATATCTCCCATATTCTCCTCGTCATCTGGAGAAGATGAAATAGTAGCTTTAAACATGATGTTAACCATACCCAAAGTGAGTTAAAGGCCATCACTCATGCAGTCAGATGATCTTCTGAATTACATTTTGAATGCTCCTTGAGAAAATCCCTGCATAAATCTTATACCTGGGTTAGAAAGGATCTCTCGCTAATCAAGTCGATCGTAAAGATTCATAATAGTTTCTTTGTATTGCTAATTGTCTTATACTTAGAGTGGATATGAGCTAGCTAAGGTTAGGCAGAGAACACTCAGGATCAAGATAGATTACAAATTATTAGTTCCACTACTGTGTAAATACTTTTTCATTTTTATAAATTAATATTTTAAGGAGATTAATTAGAGTTATATTAATGAAGGTTATTGTTTGAATAGTTATGAAAAATATGGAAACTGCTTAAATCAAAATAACTATTCAATGTTGGTCATTATTTTTCAGGATTATGCTCTAGCATGTAATTTGCAACAAATTCAATTGGATCTTGAGGTCTATATCATAATAAATAAAGATTATATAGTAAATACTTATGCTTTGCAAGCTCATTTAATGCTTCTAATAGTAGTGGCATTAAATTTGTTTCAAGATAAGCTCTGATGGGTAATTAGTTAACCTATTTAATATAAACTATTAATATTTACTTCTCCTGCACCAAGAGCACTTTGATCTACCTTTGAGTCTGTATTTATTAGTGTTAAAATCGAATTTTATAATGGGAAATTAGAGTTCTAGGTTCATTCACTTGAATAAAACTTACCTGACATTGATTTTCCTTTTTATTGATTAATTACAAATTTAAATTTATTTGTAGATTAATTTGGCAATAAGCTTTCGATGGGGTTTTGGGGTTTTGGGG